AGCGGCAGGGAAGGGGCAGCAGCTCTTCCCCTGGGAGCCAGGAGTCCCGCGTGTGCACAGAGCTCCTTTGGGAAGTGTGAGCCCGTACACACCCACACACGGTCCTCATCCTCTTCCCAGAGGAGGGGCACCCCCAGGAGGAAGTTCACAGGGGACATGCAGGTGGCATCAGCCAGTCAGGGATTTGTGTTGAACGTGGAAATGGATCAACTGTAAGAATATTGGGATTAACAGATCAATTAAAGGGATATTAGAGCTGTATGTTAAAAATGCAGGTGAACTGAAAGCTGCTTGGCGTGACTTATCACTCCAGCTGCTCATGTTAAGGCCTTAGGCAGGAATTCTAACTAAGTTTTAGCTGAAGTCCTCTGATTGAACCTTAAACTTACACTCTTACCCCCTGGAACAATAATGACACAAGATGTAGACAATGAGATAATTACTCAGAATGATCTTATACAATGGCAAGATGGATTGACTGAAACTTCAGTTAGGAGAACTGGACTGTTGAAGAGTGATCCTGAGAGGACAGTGAATGGGGACCCCAGCAGACGGGCAGGACCAGTTGGAGGGAAGATTGGTTCATTGTAGAATGTAACTGGATGAACAACTGTGTAACTGCAAGAATAAGTGTGTGGACACAGTGTGACGCCTTAAAAGGCACAGGTACAGTCCTGTCTGGAGCCACCAGCTTGATCTCAAATACATCAACCCTGTGGCAGAACTGAGTCTCAACTCTTCTTCTTCACAACTGGGGCCAAGAGTGGCTCCAGCTGCACCCAGACTCCTCTGAGGTCAGAAAGCAAGGGGTGTAGTCTGAGCCCTGCCACTCAGCAGGAGAGTCACCCCAGCCTCTTCTTTAACACCTGGGCTGCCAGAAGAGCATCTGGAGCAGCAATCCCCACAGCACCCAGGGGTGCAGCCCCCCTGCACAGGCTGCTGGTGCACACTGGGAGGGTGAGCTCACATGTCCTGAAGCCCAGAGCAGGGATCACACCCACTTACCTCCTCGAGTCATTAGAGAAGGAGAAGCAGTGTATGCCAGCAGTGTGGCCCTTCAGCTCAAAAGCCCTGGCCACCTCCCGGAACTCCCCGTTCTTGCCAAAACACACCTCCCACACCTTCACATCAGGGGTGAAGCCACAGGATGCCACAAACCTGGGTGAACAAGACACAGGGCATCAGCCAGGCCATGGGGCCAGCCCCACAGAGCTCTCCTCTGGGCCCCTGAGCAAGGTCAAGGTGCTACAACAGGGCTCTCTGAAGGAAAACCCATCCAGACTCCTCTGTTCAAACTGTTGCTCAGCTGAAAAAGTTTTCCCTTTTCACTGAAGCCAGGCTGATAAAAAGCAGAATGCTAAGGAAGGCCATGGGGACTAGGACAGCTTAGGAATGGGAGACTTTTTGGCTGAAGTGAAAAAGCTAAATGCTTCTGATCCCCAAACTCGTTGAGCTTGGAGCACAGCAAGTCTTCCTGCAGCCACAAGTCACAGACAGTGGAGAACAAGGTCTTCCTGATAAACAAACAAAGATTTTAACTTTAACATTTAAGAGGTTAAAACTCAGAAATGCTGTTTGCTTTGTCCCACCTCCACTATTGGAGGC